CTGGTCTTTGGAAGAGAGTCCTTTGGCTGTCATTCACACACTGGACATTTCCATCCAGAACCAGCCTTCCCCAGTGTCCACTTTAAGTGCAGCCGATTGCCAGAGTGCTCTAGAGCCCACAGGGAGGTGTTGGGCCCTCAGTAGGACCCCCATGGGGCATGGCCAGCATGCAATGAAAGTGAATCAATGCAATGTATGTCCATGACCTTCCTGAGGCATGTTCAATGGCCGCCATGTTGGAGGCACAGCATAGCATTTAGAACATCACTCAGAGCTATGACCCCTGGGTTTGAGACTGGGCTTGGCCATCTTTGCAAGTTATGTGGCCAATCTGTGCCTCATTTTCTTTATCCACACAATGGACATAACAATAAGATCCACCTTCCAGGCTGCTGCTGGGGCCAGATGAGATACTGAGAATAGAGTGCTTGGAAGAGTACCTAGTAGCTGGTGACACTCCACCAGTGGCATCGCCACCACCACCATCACCTCCACCATCACTACCTCCACCAGCACTACCATTACCACTACCACCTCCACCACCGCTACCTCCACAATAATCACTCCCACCAACACTAACATTACCACTACCACCTCCACCACTACTACCACCAGCACCACCACCACCAGTACCTCCACCATCATCACCAGCTCTACCACCATCACCTCACCACCACCATCACCCCCCAACACCATCACTCCTACCATCACCTCCTCCACCTCCACCATCACCACCATCACCATCACTTCCACCACAACCACCACTTCCACCTCCACCACCTCTTATCACCACCATCATCACCACCATCACCCCACCACCACCATAACTTTCACCACCACCACCACCTCTACCACCATCATCCCACCACTACCTCCTCCACCACCACCACCTCCACCATCACCACCACTACCTCTACCACCATCACCCCACCACCATCACCACTGCCTCCTCTACCTCCACCACCTCCATAACCACCATGATGACAAGAGCCACCATTACCTCTACACCACCTCCACCATCACCACCACCACCACCATCACCTCCTCCACCTCCATCACCACCATAGGAGAGCCACCACTATCTCTATCACCATTGCTGTTAGCACTACCCCACCACTACCATCACTTCTACCATCACCACCTCCACTATCACCATCACCAACAAAAACGCCATCACCACCACTATCACTACCATCATCATGATCACCGCCATCACTACCTTCACCGTCACCATAACCACTACAACCACCATCACCACAATCCCTACAACAGAAGAGAGGCAGCCTAAGATTATTCTCTTGTGGCTGCTTATTGGATTTGTGGTTGTGACATTACAAACATTTGCCAAGTATCATGTCACCATTGTCTATTGCTGACATACTTTTTCATCTCCCGATTCTGCACCCAATCTTGAGGGCTCCTGTTTGCTGAAATGATGGCTAACGAGCCTCTTGTTCCTTACAGTGTTTGGTACAAGCACTTGGAGTAATGGGGTTGAGGCAGCCAGCTCTGTTCGTAAGTCCCTTCCCCTCTGTTCTAGTCTGCCTGTACCCTCGTTGCAATGACATCTACTCTTGATATGGCTTTGTTTAGGCAACAGCCATACACACTGCATTAGTAAAGATCAGCCTGGATTCACTGCCTGCCTCACTGTCTGCTCCCAGCCCACCTGAAGCCCATCACTTGGCTCACAGGTACCACCCAGTGCTGGTCAGGTAGCTGGGTCCCATAGCACAACACGCAGAACAGCACATTCTTTGACTTCTGAGCCGGTGGTCTCATGTGCAGGTCTGAATCTAGAAGAACTAAGTTGCATGTTCCACCTTTTACTACTCAGAAGCCCTTTTCCTTCCAAGCAGTCTAGCCTGAGTTTCCCGGTGATTCTTCACACACAGCAAGAGCCTTAGCCATCCCTTGCTGGTCCTCTCACATGACACAGGTGGAGGGGAAAGGTTTGTACTGAGCAGCTTCGAGTCCAGGTCTGACCTGGCTGATTGGCTCTTTCCTTTCTTTGAAATTGATTATTTTCCCCCAAGCCTTACAAGTAAGATGGTTCTGCTGTTTATTACAAAGGAATTGCTTCCAAATGCCGTTAACTCAGGCACTGCCTCTAGTTTATGCAAAATTATTTCACGGAAACATTAGAAAAGCTTTGTGCTATTGTGAGCTTCTTGTGCAAAATGCTTCACACGAAGTCAGGAAGCAATTCTTTCCGATCACAGCCCAAGTCCATTGTCTCGGTACCTTCACATTCAGTTCTCTTTGTGACGAATAAATGGGCGCCTAGATGTATATTTCAGTTGCTAGTGACATTTATTGCTTTGGGAAGTTGTCCCTTCTCTTCTCTCAAAGGTCCACAGTTCAGGGAAGCTGTCCTCGTGTGAACCCGCCTGGACCGTCACAGCTTGTTGACCGGAGCAGTTAAGAATCCCACAGTTTTGTACACAAAGGGAGAAGTGACCACTGCTGGATAATACTAGGAGTGCTTTTATTCTGACTCCGTATGTAATGGTTTAAAATCAGGAAGGGAGTGTGTCAGGGTTGTATTCTTTTACTGTACTTATTCAATCTGTATGCTGAGCAAATAATCCGAGATTGTTGTTGTTATTTGCTGTCGAGTCGGACCTGACTCATAGCAACCCCTCCTTGGGTTTGCGAGTTGGTATCATTATGGAAGTAGATTGCCCAACCTTCCTTCTGAGGAGTGGCTGGTGGGTTTGAACTGCCAGCCTTCTGATTAGCAGTCAAGTGCCTTAGACACTAAGCTACCAGAGCTCCTAATTATCAGAGAAGCTGCACTATATGAAGAAGAATGTGGCATCAGGATTGGAGGAAGACTCATTAACAACCTGTGATATGCAGATGACACACCTTGCTTGCTGAAA